CATAACAGTTCTGTGATCACACTAAAGGTATTGCAAAATAACTTTACTCAGAATAATTATCCCAAAATATCTGATACTAGTTTCTAAAAGCTGTTCACAAAAGTTTTGATGAGTTAATTTCAACAGATGTTCAATTTGTTAACTTTTAAGTCAAGCACATTTTTTTTAATAGCTGACTCAAATGTGCCCTGTACATCACTTGGAACCTTTGGGAATGAAATTAATTTTGTGAAGATTGACTTCCTGATTTAAGCAGCTGAAGGCCAAACTAAACTTTATGCTGCATGTGTAGCATGCAGTCATGGCTGTGCTCTTTCATTGCAGTATTTAATTTCGGCTTATATGGTGGGGTGGGTGGGAGATTGTCATCAGAACCATAGTCTGTAGGCATCCTGAGGAAAATCAGGCCCACTGCATATTTATAAGGCTTGGGGAAAATAATAATAACAACAATAATTATATATATATATATATATATATATATATATATATATATATATAAAACTTATACCCCCCCCCCATCTGGCCAAGCCTCCCCAGCCACTCTAGGCAGCACCCAATAGAATATTAAAAACACAATAAAACATTAAAAAAAATTCCCTAAACAGGGCTGCCTTCAGATATCTTCTAAAAGTCAGATAGTTGTTTATTTCCTTGACATCTGGTGGGAGGGTGTTCCACAGGGCGGGTGCCACTACTGAGAAGGCCCTCTGCCTGGTCCCCTGTAACTTTGCTTCTCGCAGTGAGGGAACCACCAGAAGGCCTTTGGCACTGGACCTCTGTGAACGATGGGGGTGGAGACGCCCCCATTGTCTCTGAGTTGTCCTGGATCTTTGGCAAGTAAAACAGAATCTCTTCCCCCCTTTTTCCTTTTTTTGGATTCTCGTAATAACTTTGGGGTTTTCCATAAAAAAAAAGAAGCTTTGGGGGGTCCAGATTTTTACTTCTTGAAATATGGCAACCCTAACTAGCTCCACATAATGTCTGTACCAGCTTAGAAAGCTGGCATCTATGTCTTCAGTGGGTTTGAAAGCTCTGACTTTGAGTATGTTCAAATACATGTAAAAAAACTACCTCTTGGTATTTATTCCTCCTCCCCTGGTTCTCTCTGGAGATGACTCTTTGTGACTGGGTAAGTTTCACTTCTCCCCAGCACAGCTTCACTTTAGTAGACATTTAACAGACTTAATTACAACATACTCTGATCTTAGCTGTGTACTTTGCCCCCTCTCATTCCTTAGTCTCTATTTCGCTTTGTAAAAACGGAATCCAGAGCTTCGAAAGAGGGGAGAAAATCCCTTCAGCTTGTCACAATAAGTCGCAACAGCGTAGCATTGGTAACGTACAAATTTACCGTTCCTTTGTTAGTTATTTCAGTGTACAGGAGGTTGGAAAATGGGAGTTTTCATTTACCAAGCATAATACCAGTACTTTAAGACAGTGTTTCAAAGACTATGTATTCTAATAATTATCTTACTGAAAGCATGTTAAAGTTCACAGAGCTACTTCAGGACTAAACCAGGTTTGTAGATAATGCAGTGTACGCATAGGGTGCATGGTTTGGTTTGTGGTGGATGTGCTCATGAACAAGGCTTTTTAAATTGTCATATAGAAATTGCCTAGCTGGGTGCATTTGGAGGGTGAGTAGTACAGGAAGTGCAGGTAGCAGAAGCTGGCAAGCTACATTGGAAACAACCTTGCAGGATGATATCTGGGCAGCCTCAAAGAGGTAGACAGACAGGGAATGCAGAGATAATTTGGCAGCAGGAGCAAAGCTCAGTTGTAAAGCTTCCTTGGAAGTGTACCCTCACCCAGTGAATAGTTTGTGTCTTCATAAGAAGGTCTAAGTTACATTTTGAGAATCATGTAATTAGAGCAGATATTAAATAACTGGAAAATAATCATCAATATATAAGAGGCTAGGTAGTTACATCTAATGTTTAAGGCAGAATTAGCTCTTTTGAGCTCATTTGTTGTTGCGTGTTCAGACCCAGAGACCTCCCCCCTAAATAAATTCACACATGACTCAAATTTTAGTTTTGGTTTTTGGCAGAATTTAGGCGACATCTTTATTGATTACAGAAGGTGAGTGGTTGCATAGGCTCTAGTTCAACTAGTTCCCTGCACTCTTGCAGGCAGCGCTGACCCAGGGCACCAGCATAGGTCAGCCAAGGGTGAACACCTGGGAAGGTGAAAAGCCAGGTACAGACTCTGTTGACCACCCAAATGCCCCCCCCGGACTCAGGTATGGGCACAAGCCCCTCTCAGGGGTTGACCAAACCAGTTGAGTCCGTGGATTCCTTTAACGGAATACCCTTCACATAGGGATGGCGAGACCGCTCCCCAATCCCTATCACCTATCCGCCACACGAACACTGCGCTTGCCGCCAACCACTCACACCTGCAACCAATCCCTTAACCCTGCTGACACAGAGGTCAGCCACAAATCATTCCCAATCACAGACAGATGAACCCCATCAAGCCTGTAAAGGGACGCATCACGGAAGGTAATGCCCGGGTGATGGATCACCATCCCACCCAAGGCCAGAACCTTCTTGGCCACTGCTCTCTGCATGCGCTTCCTGGCCCTCTCAGTGGCATCTGGGCATCGGCTACCACACCACACACGTCGCTGCAACAGCTATGACCAAAAAATTTTGAGTCCAGGAAGAGCTGCCTTCAACTCTTCCAAGTCCTCCTGCATGCGGGTCCACAGGCTCAAGCTGGGAGCTTCCAGTAAATTGTTGTCACCCAGCTGCACCACCATCGCCGCAGGTGTGCCTTCCGCAGACACCTTCACCTGCACCATCGGGAGAAGCTCCTCCCAACACATTCCTTGTATGGACACCCAGGAGACGCACACGTGGCCGAGGAGTCTGAGCCTGCGTCCGAATCCAGACTCCGCTGCCCTCCTGCTGGCCCAGTGGACAATGCTGTGCCCGACTCTCCAGACGTGCAGGGCAGGCGGACCTAGGAATGAACAAAACAACATTAATAACTGCACCTCAGCGCCAAATCCAAACATAACCCCTGTATACCTCAGATTTCCAATGGCCCAGATCCTTGATCCTGTCGACGGACAGACCCCAGTGCGCAGCAGTAGTAGCTGCACCAATATGAAAGGAATGAGGTGCATTGCGCATTACTGCAGCAAATTGATGCCTCCTTAACAGGGACCCAGCCTCGTGAACCAGGAAGGGACTGTCCCCAAGCAGGTGAAGTGACAAATATCTCTTGGCATCCTTTACTGGACAACCCAGAACTGTGTCTGAATCATCATCAGAGGTCTGAGAAGACGTACCAGTAGAAGAGGAGGAATCGCCATCTCTCCACCTCTTGGCCCTGCATTTGGAGCGATGACTCCTCTGCCACTTGCCACCAGTTGAAGGGACTCTAGGCACCGGGAGAGTCCTCCTCCAAAGACTGGACACTGAGCGCCTCCCTCAAAGGAACAGACCGAACGTGCACAGAACTAAAAACATGTGAGGAGCTTGACTGGGAGAACATTCCCCTTCCCACATGCTGTGCAGGCTGAAGCCCTGAACTCCCCGAACCTGGGGGTGCCGACTGCGAACGAGGCAGCCCTGACCGAAAGGCCCGCTGCACCATAGCACCCATGCTCCTAGGACGACCCCTAGGACTAGCTGGGACTGGTACTCTGGAAGACTAAAATTGAGACAGCAAAGCCTCAGAAGGATCATAAACCTCACTCCCTTCGCTCACATCCAAAGGACCATGAGCCTCAAAAACAGTAGAGGACGTGGAGCGGCCAGGCTGAGCATCAGGCTGCCTCCCAAACTGCTGAGCCAGTGACTCAAGTTCTGTATTAAAGCGAGTCATGGCAGCAGGGTCTGAGCCAAAATTTCCATAATTGCACTTAAGCGATCCAGCGTAGGCTGATGAACCACATGGGCTGGCACAGAATGCAGTGACTGAGAGGGACCCCTAATGACCCTAGTAGAAGGGAGAGCAGGATTGGGATTCCTTTTAATAGGCATCACGATCCTTTTGTCTTGTGTAGGGAATGCTAATTACAAATACACAAAAAGACCCAGGCCTTTAAAATGGCACTCCTGCCTCAAAAAGATGGGGCTCCCGCCAATGCAAAATGGCGCTCCTGCCAAAACTAGTCAGGAAGAACCAGACCCTGTAGCCTAAAATGGCGGCCGGAACAAAACAGAGGTTTTTCCCGCCCTGACTCTACACGACCCAGCTAAAATGAAAGGGAGCATAATATTTTTTTTTTTTTTATTACGTATAGATATAGATATATTTGAATATGTATATATAGGTATTTATATAGCAGGAGAGAGGAAGGCTGAGGGGGAGGAGGGGGCTTCTTCTCTCATGTAAAAATCCAAAATACAATTTTCTTCTAGTAACAATCAAAATGCAAATGTACAAATTCTTTACTGCTAAGCCAAGGGAAACAAGCCCCATGGGGGAGGGGGTGGGGCAGCCTCCTCCCTCCTGCCCAGGCGCCCTATAACATTCGGGGACACACGCAACGGCAGACATGACAAAGGGACCCAGCCCCTGAGCCCCGGGTGCGAGAGGCGCTCTCACTTCTCTTGAGATGCCAGCAAGTCCATCCCGACGGGAGGGGGAATTCTCCGCCTCCTTTTCTCCTTCCTCTCCCCAGTGAGCGCGACCCCCTCCTCGCTCGCTTGCTCTCCTTCCTCTCCGCCTAGAGGGCAGGGCAAGGGGTCGGCGCTTAGGGTCCAGGCCTAGGGCGCCTGGCAGCAGCCAAGGAACACACACACGTCTTCTGCCAATGGGCTTCCCCCCTGGCCCACCCCCCAAGCCACAGTGCCCCCCCAGAGCCGCCGCCCGGAGGGGTGGGCACCCGAAGCACAGACACAAACACACCCTCGCAGCCTGGCCAAAGGGGAGAGCAGGGGGCTTGTCCGCGACGTCACTGGAGCAAAGCAAGGGGGCGGCTGGCCCTTCCTGTAGTCCGGCCTTCCTTCCACACTGGCCCAGGCCCAGCCTTAGGAGACGGAGGGGTCCTTGGGCTTGGGCGTCTCCGCCCCCGAGAGGAGGGCGATGGTGGGGTCCTCCAAGTACTCGTCCTCCGTGAAGCAGGGTCCTTCGTCCAGCTCAAAGAAGATGGGCATTTCCGTGTTGGCCATGTCCATGGAGCTCGAGTCAACCAGGAAGAGGGGCTGCGCTGTGTAGTGGACCAGCTGCTTGCCTGTGTCTGCTGCAGAGTCTTCCACTTCTGCCGGCTTCTGCTGCTCCTGGCAGGAGAGGAGGTCTTGGATACTGGCCAAGCTGCTGTCCAGATCTGGCAAGTTCAAATCTGTCGCTGAAGGACTGAAGAGGTCCAGCAAGGCGCTGGTGTCCACGCTGAAGCCGTGGGTGCTCAGCATGGTCTGAAGGTTATCCAAGCTGGAGTCGATGGTGTCCAAGTGCTCGTTCAGCTCGTTCTTGTCCAGGCAGGCGACGCTGAGGCACTTTTCGGGGGACTGGGCCTATTCAGCGGCTGTGCTGCTGCCGCCACTGTCGGCAAGAGGAGCTGCGGCCATGATGCCCCTGGGTTTCTCATCCTGCAAGATGGAGTCGATGAAGGCGGAGGGAGAGAGGGGGCTCTCGATGGCAGGAGTGCCGATGGGGCTGGTTTCTTCAATCAGAGGGCTGCGAGAGGGGCTGGGGGGCTCCTCTTTGATGTGGATCACGGGAGCATAATAAAGGCAGGGAGAGGGAACTCTC